GGTCTCCAACCTTGGCAACTTTAAGACTTGTGGACTTCAACTCCCAGCAAAGCTGGCTGAGGAATTCTGGGAGTTGAAGTCCACAAGTCTTAAAGTTGCCAAGGTTGGAGACCCCTGGACTAGATGACCTACAAAGGCCCCTTCCAACTCTGATTATCTGTTATCTGTTAGCAAAGACGCTTCCGGCCACCCAGTCGGTCGTTTTAGGGATTTTTCTTTCTTCTTTTTAACAGCCCAGGTCGGGTTGCCTATTTTTTGCCAGGGGCTCGACGCAGTCCAGCCAATGAGAAGCGGAATTCAAGAGGCGCCAACGGAACGGGACCCCTTGAAGTAGTTGCCCAACTCCGAGACTCCAGCCCAGAGGGCCCTTCGGAAAGGCTTAGCCGTGCCAGAGGAGCGGTTAACGAGATCCAGATGTTCGCGGGGGAGCTGCTCGTTTGGGAAGGGGATTGGTCATCGGCCCGGGCGGAGGGCAACCAATGGAGAGGCGCGGGAGCCGCCTCCCGCCACGCCCAGGGCCAGTCCTGGGAACTCAGGGGTGGGATGCCTGCGGAGGCGGCTCCCAGGGCTGGGACTTGTGGTTTCCACTCCACTCCACTCCAGCCCGGGAGGAACAAGTCCATCGCAGGGGCCAAGCAACAAGCATGCTCGGGAGATCTCCGCTCCTCTCTCTGTTCTTGCTGCGGCTGTTGGGCTGGGGGGCTGCCCTGCCCCGTTCGCAGCTCTTCCTCTTTGGGGGGTCCCCAGGGGACCAGGAGCTGCCCGAAGGAGACGACGAGACCTCGGTGCCCGCGCCCTTGCCCAGCCCGCTGCTTTTCTACGAGACCCACTTCAGTCAGCTCTACGTAAGTGTCCGGGCATGGTCAACCTCTGGCCCCTTCCCGTCTACACCCCGGAGGGATCTGGAGCAGGGGTCTCCAACCTTGGCAACTTTAAGACTTGGGGACTTCAACTCCCAGAATTGCTTTGCTGGCTTTGCTGGCTGAGGAATTCTGGGAGTTGCAGTCCACAAGTCTTAAAGTTGCCAAGGTTGGAGACCTCTGATTTGGACGATCGGAGCTGGTAGGGGGGGGGGAGAGAAAGAAAAACCAGCCCCCTCCCCTTCCTCAACAAATGATCCATGCAAGAGTGCGTGAAGGAGAGAACAGCCCGGGCAAAGGCAGCGCAGGGCGCCAGCCCCAGAGTCTTTTCTGCCTCAGCCTGAGCTGCGAGCCCAAGAATTTCCTGGGTACTTAATAAGGCTCTGTTTTCGCTCGAAGATTTCTTTCCAGTCTGATGCTCGGTCAACTGACATCAATAGCTCTTCTATTTCTTTCTAGGAGGCCCAACGTGGTGGTCGAATTAGAGCTTGCCAAAAGTTAGCAGCCTGGCCGCTGGGCTATCCCTTCCAGGTTCCCTGGCTTTGAATTTTGGCGCACGTTGCCACATGTGATGGCAGATATCTCGTGGTTGGTTTCAGGGGCCCGAAGGCTGGCAAAAAAGGATAGCTGGGTCTCTAAAGCCTTAAAACAGCCTGATTAATGCAACCAGAGATGTGGATTACTGGCACCTATACTTTTTACTCCGTGCTTAGTAAATTTGAAAAACAAAAAATCCCCAGGCAAGAAACGCAGCTCTGTATAAGGCATTAAAAACCAGTTTCCTCTTATAGGAGGAATATATTTCTGAAGTTCTCAAGCTTTCCTTTTGTGGTATATTGGGAAGGAAACATCTAGTCATGGCGTTGCGCTTCAGGCATAAAGTCAGATATGGTATTGTTAAGATTTTGATGGCATAGAGCTCCAAAGATGGGAGGGAGAAAAAAAAAATCTACAGACTAGAATCGAGTCAGGAAATCCAAGGAGGAATTAATTATAAACTGCCCCAAAGCCTCTTCTTGCTAATATCCCACCCAGTTTCACCCATAGTTTGTTACATCTATTTTTACGAGAATCTTCTCTTGCTCCCTCTTACACCAGGACTTTGTACAACCTTTGTCTAACCGTGAATTGTTTTATACGCTGTTTCTCATTGCTTCAACTTTCGTGTTAGGTGAATAGATAGTTCTCGACTTATGACCGCAATTGAGTGCAACATTTTTGTTGCTAAGCAAGACAGTTAAGGGAGCCGCATCCCGTTTTATGACCTGCTCTGCCTTAGCTAGCTGGGGAATCCTGGGAATTGAACTCCACACACCTTAAATTGCTGAGGTTGAGAAACGTTGCATTAAGGCAATGGGCTGTCATTGGGGAGATCCAAGTTCGAATCCCCTGTTAGCCACAGAAACTCAGTGGGGGACTGGGCCAGTCACTCTCCCTCAGCCTAACCTACCTCGTTGGGAGATGGGGAAAATGAGAGGAGGGAGTGCTAGATATACTGCCTTGAGTTCCTGACCAAAAGTATATTATTTTACCTAACATACAAATAAACAAACTGAAGATGCCTTGAATCATGGTCCTGCTCACACAATATATCAAGACAATCACTTGGTTCCCACACTATGCTGAATCATAGATTATCACACTCATGTTAGCTTAATCTAATATTTTGGGAGAGTCCAATTGAAGATTTAGTGATCAATTCTTTTTATATATTCATAAAGTTTAGGTTTTCATGACTGCTGTCTATTGGTAAAGTGACCTGCTGGTAAAGCCCTGTGGGACAATGACCCATTAACATAAACTCCTTATTTCACATAGTATCACACGGAGGTCATTTTATCCATAGTTATAGTTAGCTGTAAAGAATAATTTGTTGTATCAGTTATAACAGCAAATGAAAAGCTTCTCTTCTGTCTGCTTGGCAACTCTCATATTAAGGCTGTTTCGGATAAGAGCTGTGTAATTTGTGGTTTAAGGCTTCAGGCTAGGAAGCAGGAAGTACCCCCTTAGGCATGAGTGCTTTGGCCAATCACAAGGAGAGTGTGAGTTCTAGTCCTGCCTTAGGCTTGAAAGCCAGTTGGGTGAACTTGGACCAATCACAAGGAGGCTGTGAATTCTGGTCCTACCTTAGACATGAAAGCCAGGTGGGTGGCTTTGGGCCAATCCCTCTTTCTCAGGCCAACCCACCCCAGAGGGTCACTGTTATGGGGATGATACGAGGAGGAAGCAGTATTAGATATGTTTGTCATCTTGCGTTGTTTATAAAAATAATAAAGGTGGAACACAAACAAACGTTGCAGATGACTGCTGTGTTTTGTGAGAAATTTGGTAACTTTTTCTGGAGTGAGAGAATGATTCATTGAACCTCATTCTTGATCTTGGGTCAGGTTCAGAGGTGGTATTCAGCAGGTTCTGACCAGTTCTGGAGAACTGGTAGCAGAAATTTTGAGTAGTTCAGAGAAACCAGCAAATACCACCTCTGACTGGAGATTTTACAATGTCCTTCCCCTGCCACGCACACCAAGCCACGCCCACAGAACCGGTAGTAAAAAAATTTGAATCTCACCACTGGTCAGGTTGGGAGTATTTGTTGTGGTTAGCCAGCAGCAGGTGCAGATGGTGGAGGAGAGTGAGGACTCAGATGAGGGGTCAGGACCATTAGGGAGTAGACTGCTGCCTTCAGAGATTGTGGGGGCTGGCAGCAGCGATGAGGTTCCCGAGGAGCCTGTGTCAAGTGCGTGTGCGCGCAGGATTGCTCATAGGAGAGAGCAGTTACAGCAGCATGGGCGACTCGGGAGTAAGGCTGCAAGGTAATGGCCCTTCCCTCAAGAGGATAAAAGCCAGGTTTGAAGAAGCATTCTTTGCAGAAGGCAAAGACACTCTGAAACTCAGCCTCGTGGACATTATAGTTAGTATTTGAAAACTCTTGTAAACTATTTCTTATCTGTGGGTTTTTGGCAGCTTTGGAAAACAACTTGGCCGGGCTCTTTCTTGTCAGAGCTAATTAGTTGGAAGCAGCCTTTTATCTGTGAAGAAATAGAATTTGTACATGAAACCTTAAAAGGTGAGGGCTGCTGCCTTTGTCTGGTATTGGCTCTCTTGGAACAGAACAGTAATGGAGGTTATCATCCAGAATATCAGAGAATAGCTGCCCTATGTGAAATGAAAAGAAGTATCATGGAACAAAGCTAATGCTCCCTTTTGGCTACAACCATGATGTTTGGCCACAATTAGTCATCTTTCCAATAAAGTTCTCCTAATAGAGGCTTCTGAGAAAGTCCAGTCAGAACATCCTTGGTCTAGACTGGATATTTGGAATAATCACTGTTCAGTGTTTGATTTGAAAACGCTTGAGGGATACCCTTTCTGCAGTATTGTACTGAAGGGTTTTTAACATGTGGTAACTTTCTTTAATGGATTGAGAAAAACCATTCATTTACCATTCAAAGGTGGACATGATTTTTTCTCACTATACTTTTACTGACTGCTGCAACAGGTTGGAACCAATGGGATCATTTCAACTCAGGACTTCCCCAGAGAGACCCAGTATGTGGACGATGATTTCCCGACAGATTTCCCTGCCATTGCTCCATTTCTCTCAGATATTGACACCAGCCACGGACGAGGTAAAATCTATTACCGGCTGGATGATTCCAGAGAAGTCTTGGAGCAGGCGGCTCACTTTATCCAAGCTGGATTTCCCACAGCCACTACCTTTGTCCCGCATCATGCCTTCATTGTCACCTGGAAGGATGTAGGAGCCTATGAAGAGGTCACCCGCAGCTCTGCACCCTCCAAACAGGTGAGTTGATGCTTTGTGACATCTTTCCTGTGATTTCTGTCCGTAGCATGCTAAACAGAGATACATGTTGTAGCCATTGGGCCAAGTTTTTAGGATGCTATGAATTTTTTTTTAAAAAGAGAGAAAATATCAGGCATAGAAAGTTGATTGTTACAAGTTGATTGTTATTTGGGAGGAGGTTAGAAGTTGATGTCACATGGGACATTCGAACAAGAGCACTTCTGTCCTCATAAGATGAGACAGTGGCAAAGGGGAAAGGGGACGGAGAGAGCAAGACTCCACAATCTCTCTCCTCTGAAAGGCTGAGATAGAAATTGAGGGAGAAATTTGATGTCAATAGATGCCTTTGTCCTGTCAACAAGACTCTTGAATTTTGCTTGGAATGAGATAAGGACATTGTGTGTATTATGTTAATAGGCTCTGCAAGTATGGGATTAAATCAGTATTTTTCCACATCAGCAACTTCAAGATGTGTGGAATTTCCTGGCCAAGATGGGGACTCAGCATGCTGACCTGGGGAATTATGGGAGCTGAGATCCACATATCTTTAAATTTGTTGGGGTAGGGAAACCCTGGGCCCAGAAAACAGCTTGTAAGGGGAGGACAACTAGGCCCAAAAGGCCTCAAATTAATAATATATAATAATCAAAGGCCTCAAATTAATAATATATAATAATGCCAGGCTGATAATCTTTTTTTTTTTACAAAGAAGGAAGTTTGTAGTTCTTTTGAAGTTGCATTGAAAATCCTGAAAATCTGAAATTTCAGATGAAACCATAGAAGCAGGAAGGAAGGTCCTGAATGGGACCTTCAAAAGCTGTGAGCCCCATGATGTGACTTTTTTTTTAAAAAAAAGAGCATATATTATATATACTGAAAATCTCTGATTTAATTGCAGACATTTGTTTTAAAAAAAAAAGTCTTAAAAGCTTCCAGTGTTGGAGCATTCACAACTTCTGGAGGCAAGTTGTTCCACTGAT